TACGCTAAAGGGTCTAATACGATTGGAAACATCAATAATATTTGTTAACCCATTTGAGTTTATGACATTGAAAAACTGCATAACGGTCGCAACGGTTTGCTGAATGTTAATATTGAAGTCACCAAAAATTACAACCGTTATGTCGAACGAGGCGAAGTGATGTAGTAATGAGTCAAGAAATTCAAAGAAATCAATCAGAGATGCCGAAGGTTGGCTGTAAACAACCCCTATAACAGATGGCCTACATTTGACAAACAGGGTTTCATGGCTAGGAAACAACCGAAAATTCAGGAATAAAATTGCACACAAAATATTTCTTGATGTAAAGGACAACGCTACCCCCAGTCCTATGATCTCTGTATAATGTTTTATAATTATAACCCGGAAGTAAGAGTACATCACAGCTACTGGTGATGTACTCTTACTTATTCTTATTCTTGAACACAGTTCTATGAAAACAATTTAATATCGATATAATACGAGCTAGCCATTGCTCAAAGAAAGGAACTTATTAAACATGATGTGAATGCGCGTGATGTCACACCATTTTTTCAAGATCACTGTCATCTCAAATGTGCATTTGTGCTGTCACCTTGCCCTTTGCCCACGAAAATGTGCCCACTCTTTTGCGAAACAAAGTGATAGTTCTTTCCTCTCGTTTCGATCGAGTAAACCAAAGAAGTCGTTTATTTATGGGAGTCAAATTATCAAAAATTCTTAGATCAGTCAGTTTTTTTCTTAGAGAGGGGCGACTTTTATTCCATTTTTCTTTCAAGAGCTGTGTCAAGAATCGTGCGAGCTACCACTTTGGAGCTACCACTTCGTCGTAGCTCCGCGGGTGGCATATGATTAGTAAGAACGTTCTATTATTGCGAGAGTGCATGAGAGCAGCCACCGATACTGCCGCGAACCATGCATTGGGTTTGCTTATTTGTGTTTTGTTTTTTTGGCCTGGCTGTGCTGGCCTGTGCTATCGCCGTTTTCACAGCGTTTCGAACAAACGCTACCACAGCGTTTCGAACAAACGCTATCGAACAACGCTTCAAGCGTTGTTTGTTAGAAACGCTGTTCGTTCACAAACGCTATCACGGCGTTCTCGATACAATTCGACTATTCGAGAAACCCTCGCGCCGAGAAATATAAATTCCTGACAGCCGATGCCGCGTCATTCGATCGCCGACGCTCACTAGCGTGCCCGTCGTTTTGCTGGCCGCTGCTTCGCCGCCTGTGTATTTTTTTTCAGTTGTTAGGGGAGCACAGGTTCGCTCCAATAAACTTGTTTTCCTCATAGACAACTGCGTCGTCCTTTGCTGCGTGACAATACGTAATTTTGGCTAGGGACAGTTAAGGCATAAGACTGAACTTGTCTTGGGTTTGTATTAGTTCCTGTTTGGCTGTATAGCCGAATATTGTGTACATACTTGTTTTATTTCTGGGAGTGAATTTTGAGTGTCAGATTTTTCCCATTTTGTGTAGTATTAAAATGGGCCTGTCATGTTACCGCCGACTTGTGTCTCTCTCTCAATGCAATCCTCCGTAAGGGCTTCGAGACAAAGTTCATGACAGCGGCGAAGTATTTTTGCTGACCCTCGATGCCGAGTGCGCTAAGGAGCGCTGTCTGTCACTCTCCCAGCCGCTTCCATCGGCCGCCTTGAGGTGTACCTGAAAAGTTTTTTTCCCATTTATGCCAAGAGATGGGGGGGGGGGGGGGGGGCGCCGGGTACGATGAGGAACGAAGAAAGATTGGCAAAAAAAATACATTGCGCATACGGGCCAAGGAGTCGTTGATTTGGGGTAGAGGATAAACGTTTTTCTTCATGACCCTGTTCAGTTTACGATAATCAGTGCAAAAGGGCTGCGTATCATTGTTTTCTCTTCCAACACAACTTGAGTAGCCCAGGGACTGGTCGATTGCTGAATTATGTCCTCTTTAAGTATCTGCTCAACCTGATCCTATGAGCCTCTTGTTTTCCTTTTGGGATACCCTTTAAGTATGTTGCCAAATGGCTCTTTCAGTGGGTTTGTTGACTATACCATGCTAAGCAAGTGGCTTCTGGTCAACTTTGGACTTCGTTGCGAAGCAGCCTTGAAAGGAGCCAAGTATGCACAAAAAGCTTTCTCATACTGAAGGCAGACCCTTGTTTATATAGAGAAAGCTCGTGAAAGCCTCAAGAGAATAGTCACGCAATGAAATTTCTGTTAATGTAGAGTAACCTCGGGCATCAGCGACTTTCTCAAAGTATGCAATAGCGGTGTGTTGGGCAAGATGACAATATTCCTCGCTTAAGTTTTGACCAGAATTCGAGCCTGTCTGTTGTGAGGTTGAATGATGCATCGGGCACGCAGATTTGTTGTGAAAAAAGGTAAGAAATTCGCTTCTGCGATTATAGCGTTCGGCGCATCCTGTCCCAATTTGACAGTTACAAAGAGGTTGCTACAAGCGGACAGAATCACAGAATCATCTGTAATATGTGACGCTCTCTTTAGGGACGGGGTGTTTTCAGTTTCAGCACAAAAAGAGTCATTGAATGACACAAGTAACTTACGGAGGTCAATGACTGCACCGTATTCTCGAAGAAAGTGTATTCCCAAGATGATTGGCCGGCAGCACACGTGCAACACGAGAAAAGACCCCGTGAAGGTCGACGCACGGATTTGAACACGTGCAGTGCACATTGCAGTCAGCATCACCAGATGGCCACCTGCTGCTGTAACTGAGGTCCTTGCTACAGTGTGTTAACTTTTTTCAGCTCAGATGCCAGTGCTGGGCTCATAACAGAATAGTCGGCACTAGAGTCGACGAAGGCGGGGGCAGCATGATTATTAACGAGGATGGCCATATCTGCAGAAACAGTTTTCTTACTGTCAGAAAATAGCAACAAACCAGAACGCTCATCGTCGGGTCGTTTCATCACAGGAGGTTCTTCGAAAGTTTGTCGACAGTGTCTTCACACCCAATATTCTTGGTTCCTAGTTTCCCCTTTAGGGACTCGGGGGAAGGCTCCTGAAATAAAGAGAAGATGACAAGGGCATGCTGACTGACGTAGACTAGCAAGACAATGGTGATCTCAACTGGTGGTGCTGAGCAGTCGAAGGCTTCGCTGGCTTTAAAATAGACGTCCATTTCGCAGGGGCACTCAACATAGTGTGGGGATCGAGCATTGGGATGGTAGTGGCGGAGACCAAGTTGGCGTTACTGGCAGTTCGATACACGTGGCTCGCTTCGCCACACTGGTAGCAGTGGATGGTTATCCAACGTGCGCCACATGCTTGCCTTGCTAGCCTTTGGTCGTAAGTCAGACGGCATGCACTCGGGAACCTTGAGTTGGGTGGTGGACTGGAAGCGATGCACTCGGGAACCTTGAGTTGGGTGGTGGACTGGAAGCGATGTCTGGGAATGGATGGGAAGCATGCTTGATTGTATGCGTTGAGGGACCTGTGCTTAGTGGTGCCGAAGATCGCAGTGGCACTACATATGTTAGGACAGGGGCCTCAGGCAATAGTGGTACGGGTGGAGTGACTGCCTGTGTGATCTCATTTCTGATGACGTCTGCGGGTTCTGTCACAGGTGATTGGGGTTCCAGTGGCTGAAGCTGACGTAGTTCCTCCCGCGTGATACTTCGTATGAAGTCTGCGAGTGCCTGCCTCTCACTGTCAGGCGCGATAGAGCATGTAGTGGCAGCGCGACCTGAGCTGTGGTGGAAAACCCCCGGAAGATGAGGTGCTGCAGTGCTGTGGGGCTTTGAGCAGCGAGGATCAGGGAAGTTGGCATTGCTACAGTGAGGAAAGGAGTAGCCACCTTGTTATGAAGGCTGTTGGCCTAAAGGCTCAAGCAGTGGCCATTGATCTCGAAAGAACGGAGTGTGGCTCGACTGGCTGCACCCTTTCACAACAGTTCCCGGTCGACCTACAGCTCTCCCACTTAATTTTGGTTTCGTTGCACCGTAATGCCTAATATTGTGTGCATACTTGTTTTATGCAATTTAGAGCATTTTTCTTTCAATTTCTTGTTTTATAAAGTGTATTTGTCTTACCACCATAGTTTTCCATCCCCATCTCTCAGTCCAATCCTTAGCAAGCACTCCCGAGATAAATTTTGACGTCATGGCGTTTGTATTGTGACGATCACTGCTGGAGTGTACGCTCCATTATGGTTGCTTTGCTGATGAACTCGGCCATGTTGTCAGTAGAGTGCGCTCAAGTCCAGCATAAAGCTGTTCTTTCACTCTATGCATCAAATGCCACACCTTATTTTCCTCAAACATGGCAATGTCTGCATGCCTGAATAGACGAATCATGTCCTCCACAAACATCGAGACTCGCTCGTTCGGCCACTGGTTCTTGTATGGGATGGCTTTCTCAGCTCTGCTATTTTTTTTTTTGCGTCGATGCTATACACGTTACAGAGCTGTTGGCTGAACACTTTCCACGTCGCAATGGAGCTCTCATGGTTCTTGTATCAAGTTTTTGTGGAATCTCCCACCTTGAAGGAAAATTTTTGCAGCGTGCAACCATCATCCCACACAATGATGTCCTTCGAAACCTGATCAAAGTGGTCGAACTAGTCATCCAAATTCTTGAACATGGCTTCATGGAATGGCCTCAGTGTTTGGGGTGCGTGAAAGACATGTGTGAGAGGAAGACAATGTGCATCGTTAATTTGACTCGCCTGGCTTGTCGTTGGAATTGTCATCTTTTCTAATCTCAATGTCAAACAACTTAATTCAGGGGGTAGTCTCACAGGTGTTGGCTGCGTCTTGCAGTGGGAGATGTTGCTGTCCTCAAGTTGTTAGGAGTGACGGCGTACACTTGGGAGCCAAGGTACACGTACTCGGAAACTCCAGGAGTAATGTTGCTGGTGAAACTAGACAGAAAGCCAGGAGTTTATGCCTGCTCCAAAACCAGAGCTCAAACCATTCTTCTTCTTTTCGAAAATCTGTTTGTGCCACAGTGGGTGGTTCATAAATTATATGATTCAATATGCGAGGCTCTTTTTGCAGGCCTCGGTTACGGACGGAACTGCATGGCCTTACCTACTTGCGGGAGACTCTTGATCTCATTCTCAAGTTAAGTGAGGAGCGCACTGTGGCAACGCAAAGCTCATCCGGTAAGTTACACTGGTGTGGCACCTGTTTTGAAGTCATTAGTGCTTTTCTTGTCAATAGTAGATGTTTTGTGGGAAATCAGTTCTGCAGAAGGTGGTGGAGGTAAGTTGCTAACAGCACAATAGTCCATAACATTGGTTGAAAGGCAAGCTATTGCCGTTGAGATTGAACTCTGGACAGGGACCTATCTGCAAGGGGACAAAACCCCGCAGTGGGAATTGTATCAACTAGCTGCACCATGTTTACGTGTGTGCGAACGTCGTGTACATCCACACAGGCTGGCTGATTCCATTGTGTTGCCGCAGTATCGAATGCTTGTATGCACGCCTGCATGATATGTACAAGTGTTGTGGATTTGGTAGTTTGTGAGTAAAGAACTTAGAAAAAACTGTTTGCAGCTCAGCACAACAGGTTCATCAAAGGTAAACTTTTAGCACTCAAAAACGACGCAGAAAAGAAAGATAAGCTTGAAAAAATGAACATGAGCACTAAACTCCGATATGCGTGAGCTCAATGGTCTCATTAAGGTGGTAGGCCACCTTCAAAAGTCTTTTTCTTTTTCGCGAGATAAATTTTTAGGGTTTTGTTTTTCTTGCACGTCCAAACATTCACATATATGTTGCAACAAAAATTATTTTCGTAGCGTCATTAGTTTGCAAGTTACAGCAAGTTTTCTATATCCTGTGCTACTATAGCAAAACTGAAACCACATTTCTAATTGTGGTTTCGGTTTCAAAAAATCGCTTTCAAAAGCAAGTGTTGTTTCATCTATGCTATTCAAAATACTTTATGCATTTTATTGTGACTGTTATATAAGATGATGTCATTAAATATAACTTTGTGTTTAAAAGTCTTCGTTAATCTCTAACAACAGCCACAAGGGGAACGCACGATGCTCGTCGTAATTTTTGTTATTTGCCTTGGTCAGGCTACGTCAGGCATCGTTCTGCATTTGTTCCACGTGTCAACGCTACTAGGGCTGTATCCTTAGGCCACCGGGACCATATTACAACCAGCATGGAGAAGTGCAGAACACAGAAGGCAAGGAAGCGCAAGTTTGCTGGAAATCGCTACACGACGACGAGGAAATCGCTACCGACACAGACGCCGGTATTCCGGCGATCGCGAAGAAGCTTGGGGACATAAACAAGGTGTACCAGACTCCACTAGAGAATTCTGCGCTCCAAGGGAACAGGATAATGGACATTAATATTCTTTCTTCAGTGTTTTCATCGCTGGCATGTTCCGAATGCATGAACACAACACTGAAGCTCGAGTAACGCTCTCACCAATTGATATGCTCGGCTTGTACGGTCGTGTGTACCGACTGTGGGTTCAAGCTCCCATTTCATACGTCGAGAAAGGTGGGTCGTGCCAATGAGAACAATTTACGTCTGGTTTACACGACGCGCCAGTTAGGAAAAGGACACGCTGGTGCGAAAACTTTTTCCAACGTGATGAACATGCCTGCTCCTCCACGTCACTCCGCTTACGACAAATTGCCATCTCGGCTTTCTGCAGCGGCAGGAGAAGTGGCGTCAAAGTCGATGACTGATGCTGCTGTGGAAGTTCGTCGTGTTGTGGGGAGTGCCGTGTGTGGTGTTTCAGGTGATGGCACGTGGCAGAAGCGTGGCCATTCATCTTTGAATGGTTGTGTGTCTGTGATTTCTGTTGACACGGGAAAGGTTATTGATGTTGAGGTCCTTTCTAGTTCATATAAGTCTTGTAAAACAAAAAGCAAGTTGAGGCAAGATAGTGCTTCGTACCAGAAATTGAAGGCAAACCACACTTCCTGTTAAGCAAATCATAAAGGAAGTGCTGGCAGTATGGAGACGGTTGGTCTATACCGAATATTTGAAAGGTCGAAAGGCAAAAGAAATTCGAAGTACCTGAAGTACTACGGCGATGGGGATTCCAAGAGCTATGCTGCTGTGAAAGACATGTATGGAAAAGACAGTGTGCAGAAACTGGAATGTATTAGGCATGTCTAGAAGCGTGTTGGCTGCCGCCTCAGAAAACTGAAGAAGACGGTGCATGGACTCGGTGGTAAGGGAAAGCTCACTGATGCCCTCATTGACCGCCTGCAAAACTACTATGGCATCGCCATAAGGGCTAATGTGGGGAACCTTTCTGCAATGGAAAAGGCTACCCTTGCCAGTCTTTTTCATTGCAGCTCTACCGACAAGCTGCCGAGACATGGCCTGTGTCCACTTCGTACTGAAAAGCTGGTGCGGATACCAAAGGATCGAAGCACTCGGCCAAGGGAAATATGTACACAAAGGAGGACTTCCAAATGATGTGCTCAACAAAGTTAAAATTGCCTACAGTGATCTGTGCTCTGAGGAACTTCTAATGAAGTGTCTTCATAAAAAGACTCTAAATGCTAATGAGTGTTTGAATGGTCTAATGTGGCAGCGGGCACCCAAAGAGGTCTATGTAAGCTTGCCTACAGTAATGTTTGCCTTGCATGATGCTGTGACACACTTTAATAATGGCAGTGTAAGCACCCTAGATATCCTGAGGCAAGCTGGCATAGAACCAGGGTACCACACGACGAAAGATTGCATCGCCAGGGATCACCTGCACATGCAGAATGCTAAACGCAAGTCAGCAGATGGGACAAAACAGGCCAGGAAGAAAAGACGAGCAGCCACCCGAACAAAAGGAGACAATAATGCTCCTGCAGAAGGGCCAAGCTATGAAGCTGGTGGATTTAAGGCCTGCATGCGAAGATTGTGACCCTTTTTACAAGCTCGGAAATCTTTGTTTACGTTTTTCTGAAAATAACATTTTGCTTGAAGTGTTGCGACGCAAACTTTTATAACCTATTTCTCAGCGTATACTTTGAACTGAAATTTCGCACAATAATTTAAAATATATATATCTGTGCAGTGAACTAGAATAAAAGAAATCTATTGAATATTTTTCAGTTCACAGCTGAATTCTTCAACAGGTTCAGTCTAAATTGGCTCTTTTTCTCCGTTTTTTTGTTTTTTTAGCATTACTTCCTTGATATTCACTGCATAATATTTATTCTAGTTCAGTGCATAGCTCCTGCCATTAGTTACACAAATGTCAAAGCTTTACTGAATAAAGCCACCCATTAGTCGCTTATCACAACTGGCGTGGCTAGCACTTTTAATGCAATTTTTGACAAAGATTACCTCCCAATGAATAAATATTCAATAATTTGCACTGTAAATAGCTGGGTAAATTAAATAAGACATGCTGGTTTTGAGGAAAAAGTTATTTCAATGCTGCCTGCCCTTAAAGAAAATTTTTGTTTTTGAGTGGCCTATCACCTTAATATGCTTTTGAAAATATTTGAATGAATAATATTGCATAGTATTCAAATTTAAATCATTGGAAATTTCAAAGTACAGTGAACTTTTAGTAAACTGAAATCTGTTGAACGGGATTTCTGCTTAAATGGAACACCTGCCTCTAATATGATTGTTTTCGTACTTGTCTTTGGCACCCCTCCTCACCTCTCAGTAAACCGAACTCCTGTTAAACGGAATGTTTTCCTGGTCCCTTCAGGTTCTGTTTAATTAGTCTTCCGCATTCAAAATGAACAAATACTTGTTCACATGTAACCCGTTGTCCAAGGGGTTTCACTCCAGTGAAGAGGTGCCCCGCCACGGTGGTCTAGTGGCTAAGGTACTCGGCTGCTAACCCGACCCGCAGGTCGCGGGATCAAATCCCGGCTGTGGCGGCTGCATTTCCGATGGAGGCGGAAATGTTGTAGGCCCATGTACTCAGATTTGGGTGCACGTTAAAGAACCCCAGGTGGTCGAAATTTCCGGAGCCCTCCACTACGGCGTCTCTCGTAATCATATGGTGGTTTTGGGACGTTAAACCCCACAAATCAATCAACCAGTGAAGAGGTGCCAAGACATGAAAACACCTATTCAGAAGAAATTTCACTGCCTCAAAGCCCTACTTTAAGGCTAAATGAACATATTACCCTCACATTCATTCATAATTTTAAACTTGAGGGTGTGCTAACACCTTCTGTATGAGCTCATGGCACACACATGTTTTGTGCATAAGCCTCGTTTATGGTTGACAACCATCGAGCGGTAGGTGGCGTGGTGCTTGCGAGCATTTATCACCATCATCATCATAATTAGCGCAGTAGAACCAGCAGCGACTCTTGGTGGCGTGGCTGGGTGGCAGCACATGGTACATCAGTGGCTCCCTTCACCATGTGGCGGCTGGCACGAACGGTCGCTTTCCCACGGCGGGACTGTGGGGACGATGCCACAGGCCGTTTTTTCCTGGGTCCTTCGTGTAATCTAGCGTTGGCGACGATGCCTACGCATTATTTTGTTTGTTGCTATGTTCTCTGAATGTATTCGGAGTATAAAAGGTTGTTTTAGCGTGTTGATCACTAGTGATGTATGTTGATTTGGCTGACGATATTGTCAATGTTTTTGTTGGTTTTGGTCTGACCCCATCTGCTGTGTCCATTCGCTTGGGGAGCATGCCTCATTTCAAGACCTTTCAAACTCTAAAAGCTTGACGTATGTATAGCTTATACTGTCACGTTTCTCACGACAAACTTGATACAATGGGCTCGTTGAGTCGACTAGCCAAGCAGCAGCTCAGATAGATCATTTTTGTCCTCTTTCACTCATCGATCTCACCCAAGCAAACCATGTGGCAAGAGTCTCCCCCCTTTAAAAGCATCGACTCAATGCTCGTAAAGAAAAAAAAAAAGAAGGCATACACACACGCAGATATAGAGATCCAAAAGAGGGAGAGTGCCAGTACTCGCAGCGCAAATGTGGAAGTTTCGTCAACGCTTGCACGAAGCGCAAAAAGAAAAGGCATAAAAACACAGGAGAACACAAACAGCAGCAGAAACGCAAAGTCGCGGCATGTCGTAGCACGTGAAACCACAAGGACTACTGTGTGAAGTAGGGCTTCAGCCGAACGACATGCACGGTTTCGGGCCGAAGCTGTCGACAAGAGGACGCTGCGCCGCCCGGAAATACCT